CCCCCGGGGCTCCCCCTCTGCCCTTCGGGAGCCCACTGCCCTTCTCCTGGCGGGGCTGTGCGACTGGAGCGGAGCGCAGGAAGAGAGAGGGTTGTTTTAAACCCGCGGGCGTAAAAGTCTAGAAGCTGGGCCCCCCGTGCGCAAGTGAGAAAGGAGCCCTCTGCGGGAGTGTGTGCGCGCAAGAGGGGCAGATTTGGGGGTGCCATGTGGCTGTGCAGCGTGCACGGGTGTGTGTAAGCGGAGGAGCGGGACTGAAGGCTTGCGGCTGGGTGTGAGCAGAAGCACGGTGTGCTGTGTGGTGGTGGGGGCAGGAGGGAGTCGTGTGAGTGTGGATACCAGGCAAGATTGTCTGAATGCGCTCCGCTGTGAAATTCTGGAACCTGCAGCTCTCTGCGGACAGGTAAGAGACAACGATCTGAGGGCGGTTGCAAGAGGCCCCGCCCCTCTGAATCTGCTTCCAGGGCCCGCCTGGGGAATGCTCCCCCCCCCCCCCCCCCCCGCCGCGTGTCTGCCCCTAGCTGTGGTCTCTGGCCCGGGCCTGTACTCCGCTTGCTGTGAGGGTGTCCATTTCCCGGCTGAGGCCGCTGAGACGGTGGAGAGATGGAGACAGGTTGGGGTGGGCACAGGAAGATGAGGCAGGGATAGACAGTGTGGGACAGTCAGGGAGTCTGCTGGAGACCCTGAGCACGAAGCTGTAGAGAGCCCCGGCGGGTGATGGAGGGGCACGTCAGCGCTGATGAGTCAGGGTTTCCTGTCTGTTGTCTGTCCACCGGCCCCGTGGGGCCAGGGCGCAGGTGTGGTGAGGTGGGGGGAAGGGGACTGTGTGCCCTTCTGTGGTGCTGAAGCTGCACCAGGTGTGAGGTGTGAAGGCCAAGTCAGCCAGTGTGAACACCTGTTTGGGAATGGAGGTATCTGTGGATTGTGTGCTTGTATCAGGGGAGGGGACTATGTCTGTCTCTGGGAGGTGTGTGTGTTCATTTTTGTGTTTGCTGCAAATGTTCACCTCTGATTCTGTGTGTGTGTTTCATGCTCCTATCCCCAATTCAGGTGTGAGGGGACCAGGGTTGCCCTTGTTTTTTCAGGGCTGGGGGGCTCAAGAATATGTGGGAGGATCGCTAAGGAGCCTCTTTCTCCCCTCCATCCTACATGCGATCCCCGTGATCTGCCTGCTCCCTCCCACAGTGGGTTCTTTGGGGAGCCGGATGCCTTCCCTATGTTCGCCACCAACAACCGAGTGAAGAGGAGACCCTCCCCTTACGAGATGGAGATTACTGATGGTGAGTCTGCCCTGCCCCCATCTTTGTCCTCTCCCCTCAGGCTGGTTAGAGCCCCCTGAAGGAGGGATCATTTGGGGATGGAGATTGCTCCGTAGGTGTTTCACTTAAGATGGGTGGGCCACCTTGGAACCCCCAACTGCCAAAGTCCCTCACCCTGCAAGAGGGTGAGGGGGGCGCATTCACAGTCTTGGGAAGAGGGGACATGGGGATGAGGACACATTGGGGTGCTTAGCCCAAACCTCTAGGGTCAGCTGTAGTCCCCACTCTGGCTCTGTTACACTTGGCAAGGATCCTAGGGGGTGGGCAGAAATGGGTGGTCCCCCTGACTCTAAGCCCTGACCCTCAGGGACTCCCTGCACCTCCTCCCAAGTGCCCTCTGGAGTCTGGAGTCTGTTCCCTGCTGGGCATTGCACCTTCAGGGGTCTCGTCCCAGGTCCCTACGTTGTGGGGCCCTCTTGTCCCCTCTTCCACGCTCTGGGCTCCCCTCCTGACATCATAGATTCTACCCTGCCCCCTCACTTCCCCCAGAAGGGCCTCAGCATTGCTGTTGTGAACTACCTGAGTAGTTTTTAGCCCTGAATTTGGGAGAAGGGGTTGGATGAACGGGAAATTTGGAGCATCCCCTCCCTCTTTCCAAGGTTGACCTGATGTAGTAGATGGCCCCAGCACCAGGGGGCAGGAGAGCAGGCTCTTCAGAGCTGAGGGACTTGGAGCCAGTCCCTGGAGCTCCCAGTGCTTCCGCCTGGCTGGAGACTGGGGCTCCTGAGGAAGGGCACCTGAGGCCTTGGAGCCAGACTGGGATTTATGCAAGGCGCCTTTGGGAGGGATGTGTGTATTGAGCTGGAGGTTCTGGAGGGAAGCCCTCCGTGGTATTCTGCAGAGGTGGGGGCGCTGGAGCCTGGACAAGGACCAGACCTCAAAAGATCCAACCAGCCTGGGGCACAGGGGTGTAGGGTTGAGAGGGAAAGGTGATGGGGTGTCAGTGCTGCTAGGTTAAAGAGGGGTTCATTAGTCGACAGGAGGTGGGTGTACCAAACAGGAAGTAGGCGAGACCAGCTCTGAAGTTCCCCAGGGAAGAGACATTTTCTACAAAGGCCAGAGGCAAGGAAATCAGGCACAGAGGAGAGGAAGAGGAGATGGGGCAAGGGGGTGAGGGGTGGGGGAGGGCAGGAGTGTAGGGAAGCCATTACCCATCAATGTTACCAGTATTTACTGAGCACCCACTCAGTGCCTGGCCAGAGAGAGACAGGACACAGAGGAATGGACAGATTCCGGAAAGAGAAAGGTGTGGAGAGGTGGGTAGTTGTCTGAGAAGGAGCCAGAGAGGAATAGACAGAAATAGGGGTGAAGGGGAGGGTGTGGGGGTGCAGGGTATGTCCACGGGACTTTGAAATCAGAGATTTAACCAAAAAGATTTAACCAAAAGACTCTTTTTCCATAGAAGTGGAACTAATGCAAGGTCTTAAGTCAGGACTTTGCATGGATTCCTGTTGCTCAACTTCTCTGGGCCTCAGTTTCTTCACTTGTAAAGTAAGGAGAATAATGGCTTCCTCACAGGTAGTTGAAAGAGCAGAGTGGGTAAAGTGTTTTTAGGGCCTGGCTTGGGGTGGGTGCTCCTTCTGGAGTCTGTGTACCTCTAGCTGTGACAACAGTCGTAATGCCCCCCCTCCCCACCTAGAAGCTCCATCAAGATCAGCCAGCATGAGCCATGGAGCAGGGACTGTCCTCCCTGTGCCACAGCTGAGGGACTCCCCTCTATCTGGCCTGGAGGCCAGAGAACAGCAAGTGACTTGCTCTGAGGTGCCCAGGGGAGGACGGCCCGGCAGGTGTGCTGTGTTTTCCAGCCTGGGTCTGGCCTTTGGCGAAGAGTCAGCTGGGCTGGGGCCTGCTGGCGTTTGGAAAGACAGCTTCAGAAGCACCGTGGGCAGAGGATGAGTGATCCTCCCCAGGAAAACGTGGTGTGTGTGTGTATAAGTGTGTGTGTGCACGCGTGTGCGTGCATGTAGGAGAGAGAGAGATGATCAGGCAGGAAGTGTCCGCACGGATGAGCTGGGTCACAGACTGACCACAGGGGCCAGGTCAGCCTCAGTGCTGGCCTCAGTCTCCTCAGCTGTGAAATGAGCGGTGGGCCTTAGGTGCTGATGCCTCCTCTCCTCCTCTCCCCCACCCCGTTTCCACCCGCTGAGGTCTGCTTCCAGGGTCACCGGAAGAGGGCAAACTAAAATCCCAGATGAGCAGTTGCTTCCGTGTGCAGAGCTTCCTGAGGATACCCCAGGCCGGTTCTGTGCCTCAGTGTTGGGGAGGGAGGCGGCCACCTCAGCCCAGGAGCTCAGGGACACTAGCAGGGCCCTCCTCTGTCTTCCCTGGCTTTGGGAATCCTCGGTCACGCTTGGGCATTTAGTGCAGTGCTTTGCACACCATAGGTGCTGGATACATGCACACTGGTGTCTGCCACTGCTCTGCAAGTCTTAGTCCATGGACGCTCGTGAATATTGGTCCAGTCTGTAATCAGTGCATTGTAGACGTGGGGAGACTGAGGCAGCCCTTGGATGCCTGCCTAGAGCCTCAGGCCATGCCTGTGCATGGCTGTCGCTCCACTCCTCTCCTGGGGGAGAGAGCCCAGAGGGTAGGTCCTTTCCCTCTGGCCTCTGCTCTCTCCTCCAGTCCTCCACCTACCAGCATGATCTGTCAGTCAGCAGATATTTACTAAGTCCCTACTATGGCTTTCCATTCATCTTTAGAATAAAATTTAAGATATGGGACCTTACTGCACGGCCCTATGGTATCTGGACTCAGCCTGCTCTGATCTCACCCACACTAATCTAGCCGGGCTGGCTTTAGCCATTTTCCAGCCCAGGGCCTTTGCACATGGCGTTCCCTCTTGCCTTCCTGTACCTGGGTGACTCTTCTTCAGCCCTAAGTTCTTACCTTATAGTTGTCACCCCCTCTGATGTCACCCCCAACCAGCTCAGCTAAGTGTGGTGGCTCCTGTCCATCTTTCATTTACATCCAGCCTCCTGTTTTTTGTTTGCTACTTGTTCATCATCTGTCATAAGCTCCGTGAGGGCAGGAATCCTGTCTGTTTTGTCACCATTATTCCTTAATGCCTAGCACAGTGCCTGGTTGTGAGTAAATAACAGACAGAAGGATAATAATAGGTAACATTTATTGAATGTTTACTCTGAGGTCAGTGTTGTCTTAAGTGCTTGACCTGTTGTTAGATCCACGTGACGGTCTTAGGACTTGAGTTACTAGTTTTATCTCTGTTTTACAGATGAAGAAGCTAAGGCACAGAGAGTTTAAGTGACTTGCCCAGAGTCACTGTCTAGTGAGGAATAGACAGGAGTTGAACCCAGAAAGTCTGGCTCCAGAGTTTGTTTTTCTAACTATTGCTGTATGGCCTCTTGGCGCAAGTAAATGAAGGAATGAACGATATATGGTCCCTGTCCTTACATGTCTCACAGCCCAGAGAGGGAGACAAGCACAGAAACGTACAGTAATGATCAAGAGTGATGGAGATCAAGTGATTGTAGGGCCATGGCCATTGGTTAGTTCTGTCTAGAGGGGTTGAGGGAGGTCCTCAGAGAGGAGGAAACAAATGAACTGGGTTTTGAAGGATGAGTAAGAGTTTCTAAGCAAAAGGAAAAGAAGGCATTCTGGGTTTCCCAAGTTTTCCAATGGATAGTTTCTCTCCTTCCCCAGGGGAGAAGATGCCTTGGGGGATCTGTAAGCCTGTCTCTTAACCCTTGTCCTCCTACCAGGTCCCCACACCAAAGTCGTGCGGCGCATCTTCACCAACAGCCGGGAGCGATGGCGGCAGCAGAATGTGAACGGGGCTTTCGCTGAGCTCCGCAAGCTGATCCCCACGCATCCCCCGGACAAGAAGCTCAGCAAGAATGAGATCCTCCGCCTGGCCATGAAGTACATCAACTTTCTGGCCAAGCTGCTCAGTGACCAGGAGGAGGAGGGCACCCAGCGGGCCAAGCCTGGCCAGGACCCTGTGGTGGGGGCTGGCGGAGGTGGGGGAGGAGGAGGGGGTGGCGGGCCTCCAGATGACCTCCTGCAGGACGTGCTCTCCCCCAACTCCAGCTGCGGCAGCTCCCTCGACGGGGCAGCCAGCCCGGACAGCTACACGGAGGAGCCGGCGCCCAAGCACACGGCCCGCAGCCTCCATCCCACCGTGTTGCCCGCCACTGATGGAGCAGGCCGTCGGTGATGGTCCGGGGCCGCCCAGGACCATCCAGGAGGGTGCCCGAGGCCGCTGGGCCGGAGGGCTTCAGGGCAGGTGGGTGAGGATTGGGCAGCTCTGAAGCAGGGCAATGGACTTGAGCTTTCCTTGATGTCTGAACTTGGGCAGCCCTGACTGCCCTGGGGCTGGCTGTCCCGGTTCCTGCCTCAGCAGGAGAACAGAAAAATGGAGCGAAGTGGTAGGTACTTTTTATGAAGACGGCACGGTCTTCCCCTTCCCCAAATCCCGAAGACTTCTCAAGGAAGAGGCTTGAGTGGCACTGCTTTTGGCCTGGAGCTTGGGAGCCCTGTCTTGGCTGAGACCTGGGGTTGTCAGCTCTCACCTGAGGCGTCCAGCAGCCTCTGCCGTGCCATTAGCCCCTCCTGAGCTGGCTGGAGTGGCTTTTGTGGCCACTCCGTCCAAATATATAGGTACCCAGTAGCTGCCCATTCTTGAGCCCCGTCTTCTCCCAGGCCCACGTTGGTCCATTCAGCTTGCCAGCTCCTGCAAAGTCAGGAGCTCGAGGTGCCTTCTTCAGGGCCTGGTTGAAGAAGACGGCCAGTGGACAGCCCGGTCTCGACTAGCAGGGCCAGAGGGTCAGAAAAGCCAGGAGCCCTTACTTCTTGCCCTGGGGGTCAAGGCTCTGCCTTCTTCCCACTGAGACTTGCCTTCCTGATCCTTGTGGCTGCGGGGGCCGAGTCTGCAGCTGTGAGCATGTGCCCCATTGGGCTTCGTGCGAAGGCAGAGAAACGGGAAAATGACTAGGGAGAAATTGAGCCAGAGCTGTTTCGGGCACGCGGGCTTCCCATCCTGGTGGTGTCTCAGAGCTGCCTGCCTGTGTTCTCAGCCGCACGCCACTGCTCATGCAGTGAGCAAATGCCGCTGTGCTGAAGGGCTGTGGTGACTGGCTGTGCAGCCCGTCTGTGCATTCTCGGGGACGCTTGGAGGGCCCTCCCTGCTGCAGGGTGTCTGTCTGCTGATGGTCGGGTCTGTGTTCTGCTGAGCACTATCTCTGTCCTGGTGTTCGGGACTTTTTTCCTAGCATTTGGGATTTTTGCTTGATTTCAGTTATTGGTGGGTTCTTTAGGTCCTGGTATGCCCCAGGATCCAGCCCTATGTCTAGGGCATGGGGAACCCGATCAGAGCCCAGTCCCTGGCTGAGACCCCAACATGTGCACATTCACTTAGCAGAGTCTTAAACACCCCGCTATTGTGCAGCTTTCAGTCATCAAGTGTGTGTATGGGAGGTGGGCTTAATGCTACAGGAGTGTGCCCCTCCAAAAGTTGTACATGAAATTTTTGTAAATCAAATCCTTATCCTTCATCTTTTAAGGAAATACTGCTGCAAGTCCTTTTGTAAAGTGAAGAATCCTTTTGTAGAGTGGCCTGCTGCCCCCTCGTTGATCTGTGTCAATCCGGATGGTGGGACGTGGCTTTCTGAAGGCTAGGCCTGCCTGTGACCTGCATTCCGAGCACATGGAACCCAGTGCACACAAGTCCTATATACGCCATTGTACCCTCAAGTCACCCCAGCCGTCTCCCACCAGGCTCTGCCCTTGAGGTCAGAGGGAAAACGATCCTATGGCCCTGCCTTGTCCATAGCAATGTAGGAAGAACCATGGTTTGCCCTCGCCGTGATGGGGCCTTGAGTGCAGCCAGCCGTATGCAGACGGCTGCTCCCTTCCTCTTCCTTTTAAGTTGTGGGGCCCAGTTCGTCGGGATGGGAGCAACATAGCTCTTGTAGCTCTGTGACTTTCCATCCCACTTCAGCCCCCCAAAATCTTATTTTGATGAACATTAGGATTGGTGCATTTCCAATACTTGGCAGCTCCTGTGGGAAGCCCATCCGTCTAAGGATGGAGCACCTGTCCTCGGTCCTAAGGCTGTGCTTGCTCCTGGGGGCTTAATTTGACTTGGGAGTGACAGGTGGCTGCAGTGTGGGTGGGGGGCGGGCTTTAGGAGATGCATCACACATTCACTCAGGAACTCAAGCTTCAGGCTTCCGCTTCTCTCAGACTTGCTGTGACCTGGATAAGCTCTCGCTCTGAGTATTGGGTTCTCATAAATACCCTGGCTTGGCCTGTCTCCTGGGACTGTGCTGTGAGCTGAATGGAATCATGAAGGTAGAAGCATTTTGAGACCGTCAAGAACTCTGTTGTCCTCAGTATCAGTCCTGCAGTGGGGTTTCCCACCCTGAATCCAGGACCTGGGCAGTGGGCTGGTCTGCCTGACTGCACAGCGTTTGGGTAATTTAGGTTCTAGACCACTTTTGTCTATGTTATCTAGATTGGCCTCATTTCTCCAGATTGACCTCATTTCTGTCTCATTCCCAGACAAGGCACAGGAGTGAGAATGGAAAAGAGATATTGGAACATGGGCAGAATACGTAAAACATAAGAAAACTACTCCAAATGGGCCTGGGTAGGGACGGGCAAAGCTTCAGGTCTTTGTAAGAACTAGAGAAGATCCATAATTTTTATTTTCATTTCTAACACCCCCCTCCCTCCACCATACCGTTGTCCTTTCTCACCCTTGAAGAAATGTCCACATTCCAAGAATAATATCTGTAAAAAAGGGGAAAAATGTAAAGGTGAAGAAAACATGACATCAAAGATGACTGTAATGACTGGAGGGTATCCCCTGTTTTAGGAAAAAGTCATACTCTTTTTGTCTGTAGCGTGGGAAACGACAAGATGGTACAACGTTTATCCTTTTCCAAAAACACAACCAAGGGCACAGCATCTATAGTCAGCCGACAAACTATCTCGCCTTTGGGGGGGTCTGGTCGTACTTGTGGTTCCGATGGTACGTGGCCCCTTGCCCGAGGCTCGCCCCCTGCCGGTGTACATGGCGCGTTGCCCCTGTGGGCGGGCCCAGCACTTTCCGTCGATGTTGTACTGTACGTGATGAATTGCGTTGGTCTCTGTGTTTTTCTGCAGAAGAGGAGTGACCGTTCCAGGTACCTTCGCCTTTGTACAGCCCGGAGGCCGACACTGTGGGCGTGACTCTGTAGCGACAAAACCCATGTGGTGATGATGTGTGTATATATGTATGAGGATATATTGGGAAGATTTCTAAATAAAAGTTTTACAAAGGGGCCTGGACTCTGTGCTGGCATGTTGCACCCCTAGATCTGAGAGTTGGGACGTTAAAAGAAAAGACGTGGCAAGAACCTGTCTTCCCTGAAATGGGGAGCCTCCAGGACTCGGCTATCCTCTCAGAGTGAGAGCCCCTGCCCTGAGGCTCCCCACTTGGGTTCTCATTCTTTTCCCTGTGCCAGGCCTCACAGAGGGGGCCTCTTCTCAGCATTGTGCACCCACACTTTTGGCTCAGGGCCACCCTGTGGAGGGTCCCCTCTGTATGTGGAGTTCAGCTCCCATGGCTGGGACAGGTGCTTTTCTTGTAGGTTCTGGAAAGATTAAGGTCTCACGAGAGGAGGGTCCCAGGTTACCTGATGGCTTGATGGCTCTTGAGGATTGGGGGTGCAGGTCTCACGTGGGGCTCAGGGCTGGAGGCCGAGGCTGTGGGAGCAGTGAGTGGAGGCTCAGGAACGGGAATGCTGTTCAGAGTCAGGCCTCTGGGTTCTGGGGAGGCCTCTGTGTGGTGACTCTTGGGTCTTGAGGACCTCAGTAGGGGGGTAGGCATTTCCGACGGAGTACCATTCTTTCTTTCTTTTGTTCATTTAACAAACATTTATTGAGCCCCTATGATGGGCCAGTTATTGTTCTAGGCACTGGGACCCAGCGATGTAGAAAACCAAAATCCCTGTTCCTGTGTTGCCTAAATTCTAGCAGGGAGACAGTAAACACACAGACACACACAACCATAATAAGTGTGTTGATTATAGTGTGGATATAGTAAAGATAGAAGGTGATTAGTGTTAAGGAAAAAAGATGTGCTAAGATGAGAACTCAAGGGCCCAAGGATAACTCTGGCTCCTTTGGGTGAGCCTTGTTCATCCAACCGGGCTCTGATCTTGGCTGCCCCGGTCCTAGGGAGCGTCCAGCCGAAGCAAGGAGGGCAAAGGCACCACGTGCTTGGGGCCGTGCTCTGGCCTCTAGGGAAGCTCCTTGCTTTGAGACTTAGTCCTGGGCCAGGGAGGCCAGTGGGAGCGGCCTTGGTGATGGTGGGTGGGCCCTGGACCCAGGGCCTGGCCTGTACTCACAGGCCTGAGGAGCAGCATGGTGAAGGGATGAGAGAGAGAGAGAGGCTGAGAGGCTGAGACAGCAGTCAGGGAGGCAGGGGAACAGCTGGAGAGTGTGGTGTCTCAGAAGCTCAGGCAAAAGGGCATTTGGGGTCAAGGAGGTGGTTAGCCAAGCCCGGCGCAGCTGAGAGGGCAAGCAAGACAAGGCCTGAAAGTGTTGACTGGATTTGGAACGTGGAGTCGCTGCTGACTGCTGAGAACATCAGGGGAGGGTCGAGGCAGCAGCCTGACTGTCGTGGACGGAAGAACGGGAGGGAGGAGCACCAATTTCCAGGAGGACCTTTCCCAGGAGAGGGTGAGGCAGTCCACTGCAGAGAGGTCAGGAAGAGCTAGTCAGCACGCTGGCCACCGGGCAGAGACTGTGAGGCTGTGGCTGCCCAGGCTGGCCAGGCCCTGGGGGTCGCCTGGACTAGTGTCCTCGTCTCCAGGTGGGGACACTGAGGCCCAGAGAGGAAAGGAGTCTTCCCAGGGCCACACGTCCAACGAACAGTGACAGCAGTGGCAGATAGAGTGGGACCAGGCCTCCTGCCTCCGGGACAGCCTGTGTCCACCACAGGGAGGGGACTGCCCCCGGGCACCCTGCTTGAAAGGCCTGCTGGTCTCTCTAGCCTTGCTTCTCTCCGCTTCGCCCTTCATCCCTTTGCTCCCGTTGTACTCTCCTTCTGTTCTGGGCTGCAGTTTTTCTTTAACCGTCCCGTTTTTGCACTTTTTGGTGCTATCCGTCCTCTGCTCCCACCCTGCTTTCTTCTGGTTAACTTGTCCACAGCATCCAGGAGACTGTCCTGCCTCTATGGGGTCAGCTGCCTCCTTTGTGCCCCCTGGGCCCTCCTTCACTCTGTGCTGTGTGACGTGTGTCCACCTGTCCACTTCCCCACTACACACGAGCTCCTCGGGGCGAGACCAAGTTGGATTTGTCTTGTCGCCTCTGGCGCTCTTCGTCAGACCTGGCACAGGCCCCTTTCAACATTTGCTGAGTGAAAAGGTTCCCCCGTATGGAATCTTCTAGCTCAGTTTTGAGAGCAGCATGGAATGAGAAGGTGGAGGGGGTGGATGGGGTGGGGGGAGCAGGGGCATTCCTACAAAGATGCCTGCTCCAATGCCCCCCCTAAAGCCACAGCCCGGGGCTGGTCAGGGGCAGGTGGACAGCTCTGCCCCTTTTGTTGGTGGGAAGGCAGGGTATGAGCTTTCTCGGGCTGGGCCCCGACAGCCCGGTTATCGTCCTGGACCTGGGCGGGGTGAGGCGGGGTGATGAAGACCAGGAGGCTGCTTATCTGGTCTGCTCACAGCAGCCTCGCCTCCTCATGCGCCCACTCCCCTTTCCCTACTTGCAAAACAGCTAACTGTTCCCCAGGAGCCAGCAGCCCCTCTGGCCCTGTGGCCCACGTGAGCCAGGCAAGACCTCTGACCGGCCTGCTGGGGACAGGCCACGGGGCCAGGCGCAGTGTCCAGCAGTAGAGGCTGGGAGTCAGAAAAGGAGAGAGTCAGGCTTGCCCAGGGCACCCTCTCTGTTGTCCAGAGGAGGAAATGAGGGCTGGAGAGGGCACGGGGATTCACCAGGGTTACTCAGGATTTGAATTCAGGTCTGAGTCGAGACCCAGCGCTCACTGCCCTCAGGAGAGGAAGAGGAAACAGCCCATACGTCGTTGGTGTTCTTGGAGCAGAAAGGCCTGG